GGCCACACGTCCGTCCGCGGGTCGCCGGGGCTGCGCTCGCCATGGAGCCGCGGTGCCCGCCGCCGTGCGGCTGCTGCGAGCGGGTGGTGCTCAACGTGGCCGGGCTGCGCTTCGAGACGCGGGCGCGCACTCTGGGCCGCTTCCCGGACACGCTGCTCGGGGACCCGGTGCGCCGCAGCCGCTTCTACGACGGCGCGCGCCGCGAGTACTTCTTCGACCGGCACCGGCCCAGCTTCGACGCGGTGCTCTACTACTACCAGTCGGGCGGGCGGCTGCGGCGGCCGGCGCACGTGCCGCTCGACATCTTCCTGGAGGAGGTGGCCTTTTACGGGCTCGGCACGGCGGCGCTGGCGCGCCTGCGCGAGGACGAGGGCTGCCCCCTGCCGCCCGAGCGCCCCCTGCCCCGCCGCGCCTTCGCGCGCCAGCTCTGGCTGCTCTTCGAGTTCCCCGAGAGCTCGCAGGCCGCGCGCGTGCTCGCCGTCGTCTCCGTGCTCGTCATCCTCGTCTCCATCGTCGTCTTCTGCCTCGAGACGCTGCCCGACTTCCGCGACGACCGCGACAGCCCGGGGCTCGCCGCGGTGGCTGCCGCCGGCCCGGTGAGGGGGCGGGGCCCGGGTGGTGAGAGGCGGGGTTTGGGAGCAGCTGGGCGGGGTCCACGGGGACCTGGCCAATCAAAAGGCGGGGTAAGGGGCAGTGGGAGGCGGGGCCTCTCAGGAAGGTGGGGCTTGGCTGTGGGTGGGGCATTGGGGGCCTGGTAGGAGGACCTGGCCTATCATAGATGGGACAAGGGGCTGTGAGGAGTGGGTAACCCAGTGACAGGGCCTGATCAGGGGATTAAAACCTGGGGGTGGGGAGGGTATAGTTTAATGGAGGCGGGGCCTGAGGATCTGAATAGGAGGCCTATCAGAAGGCCAAGAGGACAGGTACATTAAGAAATAGAGCTGAGGTGCGGAGGAGAGCCTGACAATTCCGGGGTCTAGGCAACAACCAATGGGAAGGATGAGCTGGAGGTGGTGAGAGCAGGGGCCCGAAGAAAGCAGCTGAGGGAGCTGGAGACAGAGGGGTGGGGTCTGAGGGCTGGGGTGGGAGGAATCCGTCACAAAGAAAGCCGAGCTGAGGGCTGTGAGAGGAGGGGCCCAGGGTTTGGGGTACAGAAGGCTCTTGAGCCATTATAGTCTGGGCTGGGTTGGGGAGGGCAGGGCGAGGACCTTCCCTATCTGAAAAAATCAACGCTGGGGGCAGGACTTTGGGAGGGAAGAGGTTGAACCTCACTCTAGCGTCATTTCAGGAGGGACCGGAAAGTCAGCCACCCAGGGACCATCCCTGGGGTCCTGGGAAGGAGTCAGGACAGCTGGGTTACTGGGGGCCTGGGGGCAGCGGCTTTTGACCAATTTGTAGATAAGTAGTTGGATATTTAAACAACAAATATGGCCATTCCAGTGTGCCCCAGCCCTGGCGTGGTCCTCCCTGAACCCCTTCCTCCCTGCAGTTCCCTGCTCGGCTGAATGGCTCCAGCCAGCTGCCTGGACCCCCGCCTCGCTTAGATGACCCGTTCTTTGTGGTGGAGACGCTGTGCATCTGTTGGTTCTCCTTCGAGCTGCTGGTGCGCCTGGCGACCTGCCCGAGCAAGGCAGCCTTCTTCAAGAACGTGATGAACCTCATCGATTTCGTGGCCATCCTGCCCTACTTTGTGGCACTGGGCACTGAGCTGGCCCGGCAGCGGGGGGTCGGCCAGCCGGCCATGTCACTGGCCATCCTGCGAGTCATCCGACTGGTGCGCGTCTTCCGCATCTTCAAGCTGTCCCGGCACTCAAAGGGCCTGCAGATCTTGGGCCAGACACTACGAGCCTCCATGCGCGAGCTGGGCCTCCTCATCTTCTTTCTTTTCATCGGTGTGGTCCTCTTCTCCAGCGCAGTCTACTTTGCCGAGGTCGACCGGGCAGACTCCCATTTCACCAGCATCCCTGAGTCCTTCTGGTGGGCGGTGGTCACCATGACCACAGTCGGCTATGGAGATATGGCACCCGTTACTGTGGGTGGCAAGATAGTGGGCTCTCTGTGCGCCATTGCCGGCGTGTTGACCATTTCCCTGCCTGTGCCGGTCATTGTCTCCAACTTCAGCTACTTTTACCATCGGGAGACAGACGACGAAGAGGCCGCAATGTACAGCCACGTGGACACGCAGCCCTGTGGCCCACTGGAGGGCAAGGTCAATGGGGGGTTGGTGGATGGAGAGATGCCTGAGCTGCCACCTCCACTCTGGGCTCCGCCTGGGAAACACATGGTCACTGAAGTGTGAGGGACAGTCGAGGTCTGCAGGACCTCGCATTTCCCTGGAGGGAGGGAGGGGGTGGAGGGGAAGGTCAGGGGGAGGGGGTTGGGTTTAGGAAGAACTAGGTTAAGTGATAATGAGTTGGGGAACACTGAGTCTTTTTGGGTCTTCAGTTGTGTGGTTTGTTAGCTACTGTGGATACCTCCTTAGGTGGCAGTGAATGGCAATGGGTTATGCTGAGTTGACAGGGAGACTCCATTGGTTTGTGTTGCATTGGGTTGTGAAAGGCTTGTGAAGCCTTTAGGGGTAGTGTTGAGATAGGTTTGGTCACATAGTTTTGTGACTTTCTTACTTCCTTGTTGGGTTGGGTTGGGTTGCGAGTCTCTCTGAGTCTTGTCCAACTACATTGTGCACGGTTCGGTGGTTTGGTGAGTCCTCTAGGGCAATGTTGGGTCAAGTTAGGTGGCCACCCATGGCATTGTTGGGACTGATTGCGTATTCATGCATAGTGTTGTGGAGTTGAGTTGAGACATGTTGGAAATTGTGTGGCTTGGTGATTCTTCTAGGGCCATGTTATTTTAGGTTCTGTGAATTTGTCAGTCATGTAGAAATCCGAAGAGTCAAGTGATAGAATGTGAGCTTTCTAGATCACATTAGGTCAAGTTGGGTTGGAACGTATGACTGTATGTCTTTCAGGGTTCTGTTGGGTTGAATTGTGTCGAGTTATGTGGCTAGAAGTTTTTCGGGGCTACATTGAGTTGAGCTGTAATGAGTTTTATGACCTTGTGAGTCTCGTAGGGCCAGTTCAGTTGGGTGGTACAACTGTTTGAGTCTCGTAGGGCCATGCTGAGTTGAGTTACATCAAGTTATGTCATTGTGAGTCCTGTAGGAATGTTGGGTTGAGTTGGACTGTATGTATGAGTTCCCTAGGGCCATGTTGGTTTGTTTTGCATTTAGTAGTAGCAAAAGGACCCAAGGATTACAGCACTGGGGAGGAATCGTGTATCACAGAGTGAGTGTGGTGTTGTGGACTCTGGAGATGAACTGAACTGGTTTGCCCAGTGTCACTCACTATAATGGGTGGGGCTGGGTTCTGTATCTGTAGATTCAGTTGTTCTTGCATAAGGCCTCTGGGTGAACCAGGAAGATGTAGACATTCCTTCTGTTTACCCCACACCTGCTTCGTTTTTCTATTCAACCCCCTCTCTATCTGTCCTCCCCTACAGTTTTGCTTCCAGACATGGCGATCAGAGCCACACAGGAAGGGGAATGAGGGAGAAACTGTTCGTACCCTGTCCAGACATGATGGGGGGACAGAAACCCAAAGGAGGGAGACAGAGACCTGGGGAGGGATAGAGACCCAGAGAAAGGAAGAGATAGAAACCCAGAGAAGAGGGCACCAAGACCCAAAGAGAGAGGAACAGAGACTCAGAGAGGAGACAAAGACCCAGAGAGAGGGCGGAGACAGAGACCCAGACAGAGGGGGACAGAGACCAAGAGTGGTGGATAGAGACCCAGAGTGGGGGCGTCAGGCACCCAGAGAGAGAGGGACCGACACCCAGAGTTGGAGACAGACCACAGCGCCCCAGAGAAAGAGAATCAAGAAAGAAAAATGCAGAAAGTCAGTGCAAAAGGCAGAAAAATGCAGTACCCCTGAACCCGAGAGAGACACAGAGTCTCTATTCCACGGAATCACAAAAAGATCCCAAATCAGGCGTGCCACCCCATCCTCCCGCGGTCGGACAAACTGGGGGGTCCACTTTACTTTCCGGGGGAGAAAGCAGAGTCTTAGAGCATGGGAGTGGCTTCCCAAGGTCGTGTGGCCTGTCCCCCAGGGCCAGGGCTTGTGGCAGGCTGCCTGACCCCACATGTCCCCATCAGCCTGCTGGGATGCGCGGGACCTCTGCAGTCCAACAGCCTCGTTTCTCACAAACAAGGAAACTGAGGCTCAGGGGGGAGCGTGTCACCCTCACAAAGCCAAAACGTTTCCAGAGGTCTTTCGGTACTAAAAGGGCATTTCGAGGAGGAGGAGGAGGCTGGTTATAATCACTAACACATATAGGGCTTCCTATGTGGCAGACATCATTCAAAGTACTTTATTGTATTAATTTATTAAAACCCATCCAGTGGTTTACAGAGTGGTGTTATTGTTATTTTTAGCTATAAACTCCCCCACCCCCTTTTTTTTTCTGGTTAAATGAAATCTTATTTAGAGCCACCGCTGTGGTGCATCAGAGGGGAACTGGTTTGAGGGGGACACTCCTCTTAGGGAGTCCCTCTTGGCAATTCAGATTGCAGCTAAGAAATTCAGTGTGGAAACCCCTGATTTAACCCAACCACCTTTTTATACAGAGAGAATAGGTACAGGTTGTGGGAAGAGTTTGATAAAGGTTGAAAATACTATAACCTTTAGGTGGTCACTTCTAACAGCAGCCTGGGAAGGGGTAAGAGACCCAGGGGTGAGGACAGGGACCCACAGAAGGGGGGAAGAGACCCAGAGAAGAGGGGTCAGAGATCCAGAGAGAGGAGGTCAGAGACCCAGAGTGAGGAAGTCAGAGACCCAGAGAGAGGGGGACAGAGATGAAGAGAGAGGGGGACAGAGACCCAGAGAGAGGGGGACAGAGACCCAGAGAGAGGGGGACAGAGACCCAGAGAGAAGAGGTCAGAGACCCAGAGAGAGAGGTACAGAGACTGCTTCCTCATTACTCTTCTTTGAAAACTCGCCTTGCTACCTCATCAGAGACTGGGTTACATCGAGTCCCTCTGTTTTGGGGGGACTCCCTGGGTGCTTAGGAACGGGGGTGTGTGTGGAGAGGTCAAGGACCTTGACCTCTGGGACCTTGAGTGGACACTCGGAGACTGGGAAGTGCCCCTCCCCCCCTCCCCCAATAAACAACTGTAGCCGCCTTCAGCAGCCTTCTATGTTGCTTTGGCTGGGCTGGGGAGGAGGAGAGGGGAACACCCTAATCTGGGGACACCCTTCCTGCCACCTTGCCATGCTATATTTAGACTGAAGGAGGGGTATGGGATGACCCCCCTCCCCAAGGCGGGTGTCAGTTTTCCTCCCGAAAATAGCTCCGGAGGAGGGGTGCAGGGCCCTGCAGTAGGACTGTCCTGGGACTCCAAGTCCCCTCTGATCTCCGTCTGTCTTAGGGTCTCTCTCTGGGTCTCTGGCCCTCTCTTTCTCTGGGACTCTTTCCCCTTTCTCTCTCCGTTTCTGTGCTTTTCCCCCGTCTCCCTTCATCTGTCACTATTTACTTTCTTTCTCTAAGCAGGTCATTCTGTTCTCAAATCATATCTTTTGTCTATCCCTGAGTCCTATAATACCTTGAATTTCTCTTCCCTGAGCTCAGGACAAGACCCTCTCCACAGTCCCCACCCAGGAAATTCCAGGAGAGGGGACTCTGTGGGAGAGCCCCCCACATCCACTGTCTCCCCCAGCCTTGGGTCTTATCACTGCCCAAGCCCAGCTGGTTAATGTCTGGCCTGGGGCTCCTGGGAAAGTGGGGATGAGAGCAGAGGGTGGGAATCTGCCCCGGGGTTGACACCGAATTGGCAAAAGAAGGCAAAGGAATCTCAGACCCAGACTCTCCGGTCTGAGAGAGGAGGAGGCTGGGGCCCTGGACTCCTGAGACTGAGGGATCAGGGGGATGGGGATCTGATTTACTGGGACCTGGGGGAAAGAGGCTGGGGGCCAGACTCCCGGGTGTGAGGGAGGAGGGGCTGGGGGGGGGAGGGGGCTGGGGCCTGGACTCCTGAGACTGAGGCATCAGGGGAAGGGGGATCTGATTTACTGGGATCTGGGTGAAAGGGACTGGGGGCCTGGACTCCTGGGTCTGGGGGAGGAGGGGCTGGGGGCCCGGAGTCCTGGGGCTGAGGGAAGAGGGGCTGGGGGACCGGACTCCCAGGTCTTGGGGTGGAGGGGTTGGGGGCCTGGACTCCTGAGACTGAGACATGAGGGGAATGGGGATCTGATTTACTGGGATCTGGGTGAAAGGGACTGGGGGCCTGGACTCCTGGGTCTGGGGGTGGAGGGGCCTGGCCCCCTCTCCTGGGACTGAGGCGGGCCGAGGGCTGCAGGAGCCGGGCCGGGCTTCCGAGGTCCCGGCCGGCGTGTGGAAGGCGGGATCCCCCGGCCCCTCCTCCGCCGTCGGGCGCCGCCCCGCCCCGCCCCGCCCGGCCCTCCAGAGCGCGAGCCGCCAGGAGCCGGCGGCGAGCGGGCGTCCCTGCAGCCAGCGAGCAGGAGGAGGAGCCGCCGCCGCGCCAGGGGCAGCCGGGGGAGCCGAGGAGGGCGCCCCAGGTGAGAGCCTCCGCGCCTCCTCCCCCGGGATTCCGGCGCCCGGGTCGCCCTGCCCCCGGGTAGGGAGGGACGGGGGCGGGGCTGGCGGGGGCGGGGCTTGGCGGAGGAAACTGAGGCAGGAGGGAAGTGTCCCAGACCCGCAGCCCGTTACCTCAGCGGGGTCTCAGGAGTCGGGACCCCCAGCCTAGGTCTTCTGGGGGAGGAGGGACCTGAGAGTCCGTATTTCTGAGTACCTGGGGAGGAGGGGCCTGAATCCGGAACTCCCGGGTCTGGGAGAAGAGGGCACTGGGGGTCCGGACTCCTGGGTCTGAAGGTAGAGGGATTTGGGGGCCTGGAGCCTGCATCTGAGGGAGGGAGCTGGGGGTCTGGACTCCCGAAGGAGGGGGCTGGGGCCCAGGGCCCTTGGGTCTGAGAGAGGAGGGGGCTGGCGCCTGGTCTCCTAAGGAAAGATGCAGCTGGGGACCAGGATTCCTGGTCTGAGAGGGGAGGCAGCTGGGGACCTAGACTCCTGGTCCTGGTTGGGTCAACATGCGCCCCTCTTCACAGCCCCCCTTCCCGTTTCCCCATCTCGCAGCCGGGGCCGCAGCCACTCCAGGTATGTGTAGTAGAAGTCTTGGGCGGGCCCTGGCCTGTCCTGTGAGGAGGGAACATTCCAGGAAGCAGCCTTGGGGACCCAGGGCTTCTTGAGTGTGGGCCCTCAGGGACCCGGGTGTCCAGGCCAGCCCCGCCCCCACTCTTTATGGGAGATGAATGGGCTGAGGAGGATGTAATCTTTTCCAGCCGCCTCCATCCGCAGCCTCTCCCTGCCCCATCTGCTTCCCATCCCAGCCAGGAGCCATCACCTGGGCAGGGAAGGGGCCTCTGGGAAGGGGGCACAGCCTTGACTTTTGGGTCCCCTACATTTTAAGAGGAACACCGGGAAGGGCAGTGTTCAGGGATTCAGGCCCCCTCCCCCACCTGCCTATATAACCTGCCCATTCACTTCTTCCCCTAGGTGGTTGCCCCCTCCCTCTCCTGAGATGTCAGGAAGGAGGGGGCCACCTCTGTCCCCCACAGGGGCCCCCCGGAGTCTGGGGGCCCCCAGCCCGGGAGCTCGCAGGTGGAGGAGGTGCTGACAGGTCTGGTAACCACACGCTGCTTCCCAGTCCCCTCTATGCCACCCTTTCCCAAAACCATAGACTTCTAGAATGTTCTAGAGAAACTGCAGTATTCACACCTCCACCAGTGTCTCCCAGCCCTGTGTCAATTTCATGGCTTTGCCTGGAAGAGGAAGTGTCTTGCCTTCTTAGGTGGCAGTTTTGAGCTGAACTTGTGTCTCCTTTCTCAGAATTTTGGAACCTCAAACTTCCTCCAGGCTGCAGGACTTAGGGTTCCTCGGGGTTGTAGAGGCAGGATGGCAGAGTGGAGTTGCTCGGACAGAGTTCGAGTCCCACCTCTGGCACTTATTTGCTGGCTGTGTGACCTGGTGCAAGTCACTAACCTCTCTGAGCCTGTATTTCCCCATTTGTTGGCTATGATTAGTAATAGTAGTAAAATAATTATGATTAATCTAGAAGTTGGACATTATCCAAGTCCTAGAATATAGGGTCCCCCAAGGTTCTACAACAAGGGCCTCCCAGTGGTTCTGGCACGCAGGTCCCCCTGGAGTGCTCCCCGTCCCCCACTAAGTTGTTACCCTCTTCTCTAACTCCAGCTTCTCTCTCTCCTCAGGTGCTCAGAGAGATGCTCCCCCACCCCTCATGCTCCCTCCCCATCCTCTTACTTTTCCTCCTCCCCAGCGTCCCAGTGGAGCCCCATCCCCCGCCCTTGCCACTGCCCCCATTTCCAGCCCCTGAGTGGGACCTCCTGTCCCCGCGAGTAGCCCTGTCCAGGGGCGCCCCCGCGGGCCCCCCTCTGCTCTTCCTGCTGGAGGCCGGGGCCTTCGGGGAGCCAGCAGGCAGCCCGGCCAACCGCAGTCGGCGGGGTGTGAGTGAGACAGCCCCAGCGAGTCGCCGGGGAGAGCTGGCCGTGTGCGATGCGGTCAGCGGCTGGGTGACAGACCGCCGGACGGCCGTGGACCTGCGTGGGCGCGAGGTGGAGGTGCTGGGCGAGGTGCCCGCGGCTGGTGGCAGTCCCCTTCGCCAGTACTTCTTCGAGACCCGCTGCAAGGCTGACAGCGCCGGGGAAGGCAGCCCCGGTGGGGGTGCAGGGGGCTGCCGGGGTGTGGACCGGAGGCACTGGGTGTCCGAGTGTAAGGCCAAGCAGTCCTATGTGCGGGCATTGACCACTGATGCCCAGGGCCGTGTGGGCTGGCGATGGATTCGAATTGACACTGCCTGTGTCTGCACGCTCCTCAGCCGGACTGGCCGAGCCTAGGCCCATGCCCGGGAACTGGGCAGGCAGAGGAAGAAAACTGGATGCTGAGGGACCTCAGGGGGGCACCTGTCTGCTCTGGGCCTCCATTTGGGAACTTATCAAATGGTCACAGAATCACAGCTCTCTGATTTTGAGAGCTCAATCTGGGCAAGACAGGTGGTGAAACCAAATGGGGTTTTGAAGGATGAATAGGAGTTCTCTTGGATGAACTTGAGGGTAATGATGATGATAATAATAGCCAATATTTTCTGAGTGCCTACTGTTTATCAGCTTTAATACACAACTCGTCAGATCAACTCTGGTGTATTTGACCATTGGAGGCCCTCAGCTTCTAAATCGCTGACCACACAATCTCAGAGGACATCACCTTGCCCACCCTGGAGAGAGGATATGACAAGAAGTGGGTGAGGGGGCATAAAAACTGGAACATATAAGCAATTAGCTGGGAGCAGGGTTCAAATGAGAAATCTTAATTGGTCAGATAGGGCAGATGTTGGCTTAGAATATTCTGTTTTGAGGTAGTGAGCTCTCTGTCACAGTAGGAGCACAAGCAGGGCTGAATGATAAGAGGTCAGGATGCTAGAGAGTTTGGCTCTGGTGGGGAGTTGGAGTCGGGTTTCCACCCCCCTTCCCTCTCTCAATCTTTAACCCACGTTGAGAATGAAATAGACCTTAAAATGGTCTAGCTTGAGTAGGGCATGAGATTCTGACCAAGTGGCCTGCCCCCAGGCTGGGATCAGGGGTTATTTGGACACTGATAGGCCTTGAGTGAGCCAGGAAAATGCAACAGAAGGGGCCCCAGAAGCCTGAATAGGGGGGTCAGTGGGACCCTGGGCCAGGCTGCAAAAGGCGGCCTCAGTTTTCCCTGTCTGAAGAATGGGTTGGTGGGATGAGATAATGTTAAAGAGGCAGATGCCTTGACCAAAAGGTCTTTAAAGTGTGGAAGTGACAAGGGAAGTCAGGGGTAGACCCCACACCCTCAGGACACCCCTTCCTGTATTACCACTCCGTAGCCTCACACCTGTTGCCAACACACACACACACACACACACACACACATTCTTTTAGGACCAGCTTTGGGCTAAGGACATAGACATCGCCCCGCCCCCACCAACACAGACTGTGTTCCTGCGAAGGATGGGGGTGGCAGGGCGGGGGTCTGGCTGCCCCCATCTTTGTGTTCCGGGTCTGTGGCTCCCACTCTTTCTCTCCGCCTCCCTCTCTGTCTCTCTGTCTCACTTCCTGTCTCTTGTCTCTGGGTCAATAGTTCTCTTTCTGTCTGTTTCTCACCGTCTCTCACCCATTCGAGTCTGTATTTCTTTCTCACTCATCAAAGCTGTTTCCGCAGGCCGCCCTCTTTTTTGCTAAGTATTTCCCTGTGGGTCTCTCTCTCTTCGCCCACCCCCCATACCCAGGTGGAAGTTTTCAACCGAATCAAAGGCAGGCGGGACAGCCGAAGCCGATGCTGGCTCCTTCAGCACACACAGGGAGGGAGGGAGAGCCCCGGAGAAGTCTGGAAATCGTTACCCCCGAGGTGGGCAGTCGGGGCAGAGGGAGGAGGCGGCTGAGAAGGCTGGGACCCTGCAGGAAAGGGGGGTGCTTCTCATGGATTCCCCGATGTGCTGGGTGGTCTCTGGCCCCCCTTTCTGGATCTCTGAACCCCTCCCCCCGGTCTCTGTGCTGCCCCCTCGCTGGGTCTCTGTCCCCTCCCCCCCAGCCTCTATGTCTCTAAAACTTTAAAACACTGAAACTTTTATTTCCCCTTCTCCTCCCCCCTTTCTGCCCTCCTCTCTCTCCTCCCCATTTCTCTGAGTTTCTGTGCCCCTCTTGGGGTCTCTGTCCCCCTCTTGCAAAGTCCCTGTTCCTCTGTGCCTGGGTCTCTTTCTCCCTCTATCCATCCATCCACACGCCTGCAGGCCCTCCATTGGCTGGGTTCAGAGTGGGCGGGTTCTGTCGCCTGGGGCAACAGCAACAACAAGCCTGCTCCTGCTTGGCTAGGGGGAGGAGGTGGGACCATGGCCGGTCGGACCCTAGCTCTGCGCTATGGTCCCCCGTGGCCCGCAATCTCTGGGACCGAGGCGCCTGGATCCTGGCCCAACTGGCATCTCACCAGCAGTGGTGTCGCGCACCACATTATCCCATCCGTGCCCTTTCCCCCGCCCACTGTGCAGGTGAGAGGACCCTAGGCTCCTGGATATGAGGAGATTGGGGGCCTAGGTGTCTGAAGGAGTGGCCTGAGGATCCAGACACCTGGTGCTGAGAGAAAAGGGGACTGGGGGCTCCGGCTCCTGTCCAATTGAACGAGGAGTGTCTAGGAGTCCTGGGTCTGAGAGATGGGGCCAAGGAACCTGGACGGCTGAAACTGGAGGGAGGAGGGGGCTGGGGACTGACTGGGAGAAATCAGGACTAGCCGACCGGACTCCTGAGTCTTTTCAGCTGACGTCCCACGCCTTCTCCCCAGTCCACGGTCGCGGAGCCACTGCCCCCGGCCGCAAAGCAGGATTTGCACATCTGGCATTTCGATGAGGTCATCAGTAGATGGGAGACGACCTCCGGCTCGGCTTACGTGCCCAAGACCCATGGTGGGCCCTACGCGCAGCCCAGGGCCCCAGAGCCTGCGGACCCCACGCGGACTGTGGGGATCAAGGATTTAGGGGAAAAGGTAAGAATCTGGGATGCCGAGGTCCGCTGGGGACGGGGCTGGGGACCGCACTGGAGTCCCGTGCGCCCTCACGTTGGGTCTCCGCATCGCCTTCCGCAGCTCAGACACCGCGGCTGGCGCCTCCCTCTGATCACAAAGCACCAGTGCAGCGAGACGAGGGCGCAGTACACCGGCTGGCCCGGCCTGGACCAGCGCGCCACCTTCGGCGTCGGGCCCCAGCCCCTGGAGCTTGCGGACCACCACCGCGGGGGCCCCTCCCAGGTAGCGGGGTAGAAGGCCACGCTGGCGCGATGGGACTGACCTTGGGGCGCCTGGGGCGGGGTCGGAGGGGCTCTGAGGGTAGGGACAAGACTAGGAGACTCTGGGGCCGGGCCAGAAGGAATTTTGAGTCTGGGGGCGTGGCTAAAAGGTCTGGGGCGGAATCAAGAGGTTACATAGACTGGGGGAGGGCTTGAACCTTTTGCGGCGGGGCCAGAAGGAGGAGGGGACTGAAGACCCGAAATTCCAGCTCTGAGACTGGGGGCGCAACTAGTAAATCCCGGGGCGGGGCTAGGAGGGGATTCTGAGGCTGGGGGCGGAGCTAGGCAGCGGATATACGTGGGGGCGGGCCTTGAATATTCTTAGACGGGGTCGCGGCTGGGCAGCTCGCACTTGGGAGGAAGTAAGAATTGTTGCTTAAGGTGCTGCTGAATTCCAGTGGCCGGACCAGGAAAGTTTGCGTCTGGGGGCGGAGCCGGGAAGGTTTTTTGTGGCTGGGGGCTTGGCTTTGTGTTCGATGACGGACAGAAAGTGTTTGGATTTTGGAGGTGAGGCTGGTAAGGGTTCTGATTTGGGAGCGAAGCTCAAGTGCGCTGGCGTGCGATTGGTCAGGAAGGATTCTGATTCTGGGGGCGGGGGTGAGCGCCTGGTCCAGGAGGACTGACGAGGCTGAAGGAAGACGGATTCTGAATCTGGGACCCAGGACTTGGAACGGGGTATGAAACTTCTTTCTTGCTCACCCCTCCTCCCCCGATTCTCATCAGGCTGTAATCCCCTGGACGAAGAACCCGGACCTGGCCGGCCGGGCTTTCACAGTATCCGACCAGGGCGTCCTGGACCGCCTTGAGCTCTATCTGACCACCTCGGCCCGGGACTTCCGGGCCTACCCGAAGTGAGTCTGGGTCCTCGCTCGGCGCCGCCCCCTGCACAGCCCCCGTCTGGGCACGTGGGACGCCGACCCCTGGTGTCGGCTCCCTCTCTCTGACTCAGTAGTCTCAGCCTGCAGCTCCTGCTAGGGCAAGAACCGGAAGTTCAGACCCCAGCCCCTACCTCTTAGCGCCCAGGTATCCTTAGTGTCAACTCTCAGGAACATGAAGCCTGCGGACTGCCCAAGAGGGAGTTCTGGATCTGGGGGACCAGGGCGGGGCCTACTTTGATATTGGAGTCCCCAGATACTCCTTCCCAAGGATGCGAAAACCCCATATTCCAGACCCTTAAGTGCCTCGAGGACCCAGGAATCCAGGCTAGGAGTTCCCAGCCCCATCCTACCCAAAGGGTCCCCCACTCCTACAAATGTGTCCTCGCCTCGAAACGCAGGAGTTCGGGTCTGCAGCCTCCTCAGGACCCGAGGTCTGAACCTCACTCAGCCTCATCCCTAGGATCCAGCTGTGCCCTCCCCATCCTGCCTACTCCCCCCGCCCCCCAACAGGAAGGAGTTGTCTGCGTATCCCCGCAAGGACCCGCTGACCTACTGGAGCTTCGAGGATACGCCCCAGGCCTGGGGACCGCAGCGGCCACCCTGTACGCGCTGCTCTCGGCCGCCCCGGCCACCGGAGACCCGCGTGCCCCGTGTCCGCCCGGTGACGCCAGCCGTGCCGCACCGCGGGGCCTTGTCTCTGGCTCAGGAGTCCTATGGGCCCCCGCTGCACCCACTGCGCCGGCTCGACCGATTCTGCCCGCTGGAGCTGCCCTGGGGCGGCCCCCACTGGAAGCCCGTGGCGGGCATCCACAGCGTGCCGCAAGCCTACAGCACCGAAAACTCGGGCTACGGCAGCTTGAAGCCCGCGCTCTTCTGAGCCGGACGCGCCAGCCCCGCCCCGGACACACCCCCTGGGCGAGGAGAGGCTGGAAGACAGTGACTGGGGCGCACCGGGCAGGGCTAAGATCGGGAACCCCGCCCACCACGTGGGGGCGGGATAGAGCATGGGCCCCGCCCACCAGGCCCTGGGCGGGGCGCGCCCCACACACTCTCGCTCGACTGCGGGGGCGGGACTGAGCCAGGAAAAGACGTTTTGCGGCGGTGGGCCAGCGGGCGGGACGCGCCCCCTGCGGTAGACAGGGAGCGCTTATATTAGTCAATGACAGAGTTCAATGGCCTATAACCGCGCTCTCTGCTGGGCTGGGCTCCGGCATTCTGGCTTCTGGAGGCCTGAGCTTGGGGGAGATGGGGCTCCCGCTGAATCCCTTGGGCGGGGCGGGGGAGGGAGGTTGCGTCTGGGTGCAGGCGGACCCCCGCCTCTGAGCATAGAATCCAATATTGAAGCCATGCCCACCCTAAAGAGGTTGGACCCTGGCACAGGAATGGCTTTCAGTCCATGGCAGGGGAGCAGGGGAAGCTTCAGCCCACCTTCATTTGAGGGTCGTCGGAGGGGCGAG